TCTTTTTTTAAGCTTTACTGTTCACAATCATACATAGAAACTAGAACATTTTGGTATTCTATACAATATATGTTTACATTTGAGGTTCTAATCTAGTTCCTTAACAGCACCATTTTCAAGTTTTAAGCCCCATCCACACTGGCCACAAAGGTCAATGTAGATGAGGATCAGCCCCACAACAGCTAAACACCGCATAAGGCTGATCCATGGCAGTATAGGGCAAGAACACCTTAATGTGGTCTTGCCAGGTGCTACGTTGGAGGAAAGTTCAAATTCTTCCCCAGAATGTGGTTGTTTGGTTGTCCCAACTGACTTGGGCCAGTTGGGACAACCAGAACTGGCAGCAACCATTCCAACTGTATTCCCCACACTCGGGTTGCCCAGGAACATGTGGTGGCAGTCTCCTCCCCCCTTTCCCAATATGTTGCAGCAGTCTCTGGCTGAAACATAGGACCTACCTGTCCCCCATTATTTGCCTTGACATCAGCCAGGGATCTGGTGGCTTTACGGTATATTAGGTATCTTAACAAAGACCATAGGGGCAATATAAATTTTGTGTTTCTGTCAGAAGCTAAAGTGGGATGTAGATAGCCCAACATGCCTTTGGAGGCAATGTCACAGAGACTTCTATGGAGAGTCTCACAGTTTTAGCAATTTTGCTTGGGGTGAGATTAGAAGACACAGCAGGGTTTCCAGGTTACTAAAGGGACAGGAGAGGTGAAATCTGAGATGGGTTAAAATTACTGAAGGATTAAGTTTTCTTCTGCCACTTCATAGAAACCGATTAGATATTATTTAATTGTCCATCTAACAACTAGTACAATTAACATGACAGAAGCTGTCTGAGCACTCAACAGAGGTCTCTTTCACATCTTCTTCTATAAATCATATGCTTTCAGATGAAATTGGAATTTTGGTCCCTGTCTATGGTTTTGAGAACAGAACCAGTGTGAAAGGGCTGGTCTAGATTTTTTTAAAAGCTGTCACACATTTTTAAAGCTGTCATACAGCTACCAAATATTTTTTTGTACAACTAACCATGAAACACCTGTTTGTAGATATGTGTAAAAGGAAGGAAAGATTATGTAGTTACTGTAGACAGAAACAGGAAATGCTGCATGTCTTCACTGAAACATTATTGCTATTTAATGTATTGTCGAAGGCTTTCACAGCCAGAATAACTGGAGTGTTGTGTGGTCTGTACTGTATGGCCATGTTCTAGCAGCATTTTCTCCTGATTTTTCACCTGCATCTCTGGCCCGCATCTTCAGAGGGTCTGATGGTGGTAAAGCAATTGGAGAATATATACCTGTGCATATCTATACCCCTCCATGGACATTCCAAGGGTATATATACTCCACTTGCTTCATCACAATCAGATCTTCTGAAAATGCCAGCCACAGGTGCAGGTGAAATATTAGGAGAAAATGCCTCTAGAGCACAGTCATACATCCTGGAAACCACACAACACCCCATAACTGTTGTTATTATATTTATGTCAATTCCCCTGAGCAGTCTGTTCTTAAAAGCCTATTAAAACAAGAAGGCCTGAACCTGTCTGCAAAAAGTTAGTAAAGACAGTGCCAGTCTAACCTCTCCAGGAAAGGAACCTTAGAGCAGTGGTTCTCAACCTGTGGATCCCCAGATGTTTTGGCCTTCAACTCCCAGAAATCCTAACATCTGGTAAACTGGCTGGGATCTTGGGAGTTGTAGCCCAAAACACCTGGGGACCCACAGTTTGAGAACCACTGCCTTAGAGCTTGGAAGCAGCCACCGAGTAGGCTTTCCTTTATGTTCCCATGAAATTACCTTTGAGTGTGGCAAGATAGAGAGAAGGGTATGACTGCACAGATTGCAAAATGCAGGCAAATTGCATAGGAGAATGAGATCCTTCATATAACCAGTGTGCCCTCCCACTGTTTGCCAGCGGTACAAGCCATAACTTTCCTTAATAGCATGCTTGCCTTTTTCTCACCTCTTTAGGGCAGTGTAAAGATGGGCCAACAACTTCTGCATGTGGCCCTCCAGATGCATTTGAACTGCAACTCTTAGCAACAGAGGCAATGGAGAAGAATACCGAGAGCTGCCATCCAACCCCATCCAGTGGGCCTCATGGATCCCACATCTAGTTCATTTTTTTTCTGCCTAAGTGGAAGGTCTTGCATTTGTCACTGTTGAACTTCATGTTGTTAGTTTTGGGTAATCATCTTTAGAATCTGTTAAGATCATTTTGAATTCTACTCCTGTCTTCTGGAGTATTAGCTATCCCTCCCAATGTATTGTTGAAGGCTGTGTTGAACCTCACAACCTTTGAGGATGCTTGCCACAGATGCAGGTGAAACATCAGGAGAGAATGCTTCTAGAACATGGCCATAGAGTCCAAAAAACCTACAACAACCCACTATCCCTCTCAATTTGGTGTCATCTGCAAACTTGATGATCATGTCTTCTAACCCTTCATTTAAGTTATTAATATAGATGTTGAACAGAACCAGGCCCAGGACCCAGGAACCCTGTGGCACTCCTCTTGTCACTTCTTTCCAGGATGAAGAGGAAGCATTGGTGAGCACCTTTTATCAAAAAATGGTATCAGATTCAACTGGTATAATTTGTTTTTGATAAATCTGTGTTGACTATTAGCAATGACCACATTTGTTTCTAAGTGTTTGCAGACCACTTCATTAATGATATTTTCCAGAATTTTGCCTGATATCAAAGGGAGGCTGACCGGACGGTAATTGTCTGGGTCATCCTTTTTTCCCTTCTTGAAGATAGAGACCACATTTGCCCTCCTCCAGTCTTCTGGGATTTCTACTGTTCTCCAAGAACTCTCAAAGATGATTGTCAGTGCTTCCGAAATGACATCCGCTAGTTCCTTGGATGTAGTTGATCTGGCCCTGGGGACCTGAATTTGTTTAGAGCGGCCAAGTATTCTTGGATGACTTGGTTTCCTATTTGAGGTTGGATTTCCCCTCACCCCTCATCCACTCGATCTTGCTGAGGTTGAAGATGACTTTCGTTTTGTGAGAAGACTGAGGCAAAGAAGGCATTAAGTAGTTCTGCCTTTTCCCTGTCCCCTGTCAGCATTACCACACCTTCCCCCTTGTCCCTGTTGAACTTCATTTTATTAGTTTTGGCCAATCATCTCTCCAATCTGTGAAGAGTGTTTTGAATTCTGCTCCTGTCTTCTGGAATATTGGCTCTCCCTCCCAATTTGGGAGGGATAGCCTCACTTCTGGTGACCCTAAGGCAGTGTTTCTCAACCTGGGGGTTGGGACCACTGGGGGGTCATGAAGGGGTGTCAGAGGGGTCACCAAAGACTATCAGAAAACGTAGTATTTTATGTTGGTCATGGGGGTTCAGTGTGGGAAGTTGGCCCAATTCTCTCGTTGGTGGGGTCAGAATGCTATTTGATTGTAGGTGAACTATAAATCCCAGCAACTGCAACTCTCAAATTTCAAGATCTATTTTCCACAAACTCCACCAGTGTTCACATTTGGGCATATTGAGTATTTGTGCCAAGTTTGCTCCAGAGCCATCATTGGTTAAGTCCACAGTGCTCTCTGGATGTAGGTGAACTACAACTCCAGAACTCAAGGTCCTTCCAGTATTTTCTGTTGGTTGTGGGAGTTCTGTGTGCCAAGTTTGGTTCAATTCCATCGTTGGTGGAATTCAGAATGCTCTTTGAATATAGTTTAACTATAAATCCCAGCTACTACAACTCCCAAATGACAAAATTAATCCCACCCAACCCCGCCAGTATTCACATTTGGGCATATCAGGTATTTGTGCCAAATTTGGTCCAATGAATGAGAATACATCTTGCATATCAGATATTTACATGACAATTCATAACAGTATCAAAATTACAGTTATGAAGTAGCAACGAAAATAATGTTGTGCTTGGGGGTCACCACAACACGAGGACCTGTATTAAGGGGTTGTGGAAGGTTGAGAAATACTGCCCTAAGAACAGACCTATAATGGGGTTGTTGAAGGTTTTCATGCCTGGAATCGCTGGGTTGTTGTTGAGTTTTTTGGGCTATATGGCCATGTTCTAGAAGCATTCTCTCCTGACGTTTCGTCTGCATCTATGGCAAGCATCTTCAGAGGTTGTGAGGACCTCACAACATCCGAGGATGCTTGCCATAGATGCAGGCAAAATGTCAGAAGACAATGCTTCTAAAACATCCTATCCCAGGCCCGTAGCCAGGATTTCGATTTGGGGGGGGGGGCTGAGTCTGAGTGAAAGAGGGTCTACCCTAGCAAACCTTTTGTATCGTTACCCCAATACCCGCATGCATATGGGATATATTGAGTATGGTGATCAGATCATGATATGAATAAACATAACAGTTTAAATAATGCACCAGTAAGGCCTTTTCGTGAACCACCATGAGAATTTCGGGGGGGGGGGGGACATGCTACATGCCTGATATAGCCCGAAAACCTACAACCACCCTATAAAGGGGCTCAATCCACTTTGCCTGGCGAGGAAGAAGAGTGAAACTAAAAAGAAAAATGGGTTCCCCTAAAACCGTGGAGACCAAAATCCACTCATTGTGGTAATGTGAAAATAACTAAATTAATTCAATGTATATATATTACAAATACACATATCAAAAAGAAGAGGAGGAAGAGTGAGGCAGGAGGGAGGAGAAGTCTCTGCCTTCTCTTCTGTGCCCCACTTGCCAGACTTTGGAGAAGGGAAAAGGAGGGGTGGGCGCCCTGCTTTCCTCTGGGGCAGGAGAGAGAGAAAAAAAGGGGGGGCGCCTGAGCCCCTTCCCCGCAAAGGCACGTGGCGTGTTTGAAGCCCCTCCAAACCCGGCAGGGCGCGGGAAAGGCGAGAAGGCCGAGGGTGGTCAGGCGGGGCTCCTTCAGGTGGGGGCTCGTCTCTGCAGCTGCGGGGGGAAGGCGGGAGTGGCGGGGAGGGCGGCGCTGGTGGGACAGACTCGGGCGAGCGAGCGAGCGGGCGGGCGGGCGGAGGGGGCGGGCGCGCGCCGTTGGCTGCCTCCGGGGGAAGGCTAAGCAGGCGCCCATTTCCTCCTGCCCGCTTTGGCCGCCTCGCCAGCATCCTCCGCCAGCCTTTGCAGCGGGCAAGGAAGGCGAGGCGAGGAGAGGAGAGGAGCCCCTGCAGATCCCCAGCCTCGCCGCCCTCCTCCTCCTCCGTTTTCGGCGCAACAGGACGAAGAGTGGCGGCTCGGAGGCCAGGCGCGCGCCAGCAGCAGCAGCCCCGTCTCTTCTCCTGCCTCCGCTGAAAGGGCAGCGTCCTTGGTGAGTGGCCTCCTTTCCCGCCTTTTGCTCCCTTCCTCAATGGAGAGAGAGGGGGGGGGGGCAGGTTTGCAGAGCGGAACGAAAGCCCCCTCCGCTCCATTTCTGCCCACTGCAAGCCTTCCCCCGCCCCTCAAGCCGCTCTTTCCTGGGCTCCGCGTGGGGTTTGGTGCCTAGGTGGGAAGGGCTTCCCTGAATGCCACCGACCTACCTGCCTGCCTGCCTGCCTCCCTCCCTCCCAACCCCTCTCCCTTCCCTTCCCTTTTCCAGGCTGGGAAGAGCCATGACCGCGGAAAAGACCATCCCCATCATCAACGGGAAGCCGGAGGATGCCCTGGACCCCGAAGCCTCCAGCACCACCTTGGTCCACAGCAACGACAAGAAGGTGCACGAGCGGGGCCACTGGAACAACAAGGTGGAGTTTGTGCTCTCCGTGGCCGGGGAGATCATCGGGCTGGGCAACGTCTGGCGCTTCCCCTACCTCTGCTACAAAAATGGAGGAGGTAAGGAAGATGGCACCTCGCCCCCAAGGAAGCTCCCCCACGTGCCGTGGGGCTGTCAAGGAGGACAAAAGCAAATGAGCACAGGGCTAGGATTGTCGAGGTCCGAGAGTGATCTGCCCACCAGTGGGTAGGGAAACAGTACAGAGTCATCTGGAGGTTGAGTAATAGAAGCCTAGACTCTATGGCAGGAGTTCTCAACCTGTGGGTCCCCTGGTGTTTTGACCTACAACTCCCAGAAATCCCAGCCAGTTTACCAGTTGTAGGGATTTCTGGGAGCTGAAGACCAAAACATCTGGGGGCCCACAGGTTGAGAACCACAGGTCTAACATTTAGGGCAGGGGCTAGGTAAAGGACCTTGGAGGGCTGCATTTGGCCCATGGACTTTAGTTTGTGGACCCCTGCCCTACTGTAATCCTGCATTCCTCATGTTTAGATGGCCTGAGAACATAGGGTGGCTTCCCGGCACAACATGGGACCCATCTGTTCCCCACAAGTTGAAGGCCAAAACATCTGGGGACCCACAGGTTGAAAACTACTGCTCTATGGACTCAGTAGGGCTGGAGTTGCTTCATCTGACACCTCTGGGAGTATGGCTTTGCTTTCAAAGGAAGAGCTCAATTTTAGCTCTCAAATCAATGTTCTACAGCTTGCAGCTGAAGACTGTTGTAAATCTGAGACAACCTCTGAAAGAAAATGTATAGTCTTTTCAAAGAACAGACCAAATATTTCTCCTGACAAGAGCTTTTATAGGCAGGAGTGTATTTATCACATTGAGAGTGGACAAGAAAAAAGATGGATATGAGCTTGACCTATGTGTTGAAGCCCCCAGGGATTTGATTAAAGATTGTCTGGACTCCAAGGGTTTTTTGCCTACAATATACTGTATTTGGAAGTCTTTGAAGTTCAAGTGAGCTTTTCATTCTAGGTTGTCATAAAATGCCTCTCATACTGGCACGTGTGATATGTTTCATACTCTGTTTAATGGTAGTTATGGAGACATATGCCTACATTCCCACAGTGGAGTAGAAGCATATTTATTTGGTGCCATGGTTTGATTGTTGGATTGTGACTTTGAAGAACAGGGTTCAGCTTGGAAACCCACTGGATGACTGTGGGTAAGACATTCTTTCAGCCTCAGAGGGAAGCAAAAGCAAAGCCCCTTTGCATACATCATGCTAGGAAAACCCCATGATAGTGTCAACTTAGAAATGACTTAGAGGCACACAACAACAAATGCGAACTTCAGCAAGGCCCCTTCCATACAGCTGAATAAAATCCCACATTATGTGCTTTGAACTGAAATATATGGCAGTGTGGACTCGGATAACCCAGTCCAAAGCAGATATTGTGTGATTTTCTTCCTTGATATTCTGGGTTATATGGTTGTGTGGAAGGGCCCAGACCCAGACAGGCCTTTATTCTAGGAGAATCCACATTTTAAGAACCCAGATTTTTCTGGGGGCCTGTCCACGCCCACCTCAGAAAGCAGGCCCTACCCCCTCCCCTAAAGCCCCCAGACCCCTTAGAAAAGTAAAATAAAGTTACCCAGCCTCCATTACAGGCTTCGAGCAGCTCTCCCAGTGCATAGAAGTGATGCACCAGGAGAGCGGGGGAGGGGGAGCAATCCCCCCCCCCCCATGCTCTCCTGGCGTGTCATTTCTATGCACCAGGAAGGCTGCTCGAAGCCTGTAATGGGGGCCAGGTAAGTCTTCATTACTTTTCTAAGGGGTTTGAGGGCTTTGGGGGAGAGGGGTGGGTATTCCTACAGTTTATCAGGCTTCGGGGGAGGGGGTGGGTATTCCCACAATTTACTGGGCCCAGTAAACTGTGGGAATGGTGTCTGGACTGATGTCCAGACACCGGAAGTAGTGGGTTTATCCCGTGCTTTCCAAGAAGGTGCAGAATAAATCCACTATCTAATTAATTCGCTACAAACCAGGGTTTTCCTGGATTGTAGCAAATTAATTTGGAACTGTCCAGAATGTTGTCGGGGCAGCCCCTCCTTTGTTGTGGTAGATACCGCAATGAAGGTACTGTCTGGATGGGCCCTTAGTCTGTAGGAGGAGCATTTGGAACATGAGGGAGAGGTATGCTCCAGATCTGGAGATGTTGTGGGACTTTTCTAGAGCTGCTTGAAGTTTACTGGGCAATCCTTGAACACTCCAATGAAATGAATTAAGATTTATGCATCCATACCTCCCAAAAGGCAAGTTCCAGGCAAGGAGAAGGAAGAAAAGGGTGGTGAAGTCTCATGACGGATGGCTTTAATTTTCCATCTGCAAATACCTTTACAAGGGACCAGGTACTATTTTCATTTAAAAAAAATAACCAGAAAACCAGGGAGAATGGTAGTGAATCTGTCCTTCCATATTTTAAAGAATTTGCTTATACTAAAGGCATTTCTCCTTTTGACAAATTACGCATCTTGGAGCACATCTGATATATATCATTTCAGTACAACTCACTCCAAAATCACTTCCGCCAAATTTTAAATATTCTCCTTGTGCAAGTATGCTCTCTATCTCAAATTTGACAGGCTTTATCTCTCAGAAGAATGATCTATGCCAGTAACTTTCTGATTCTGCCAAAAAGTGAAAAGGTTAGGGATGTTTTGAAAAACCACAACCTCCCCTAATTTGTAAAACTACCAAGCATAGAAATCCCTTGTTATTTGATTGATGTTTGGCAATCTTCACATTCCACATTAGCAAGCGCAATATGACATATGTTGATTCTCTCAGCCCTATGCTGTACCTTATATCTCCTTAACCTGTGTCGACTTATCAATGAGCCAGTTTGAGTACTATAGCTTAGCACTTATCAGAAAAGAAACCATTCTCTTTTCTGAGTGATGAAAGGAAAGAGCTTAGTCCCTCTCAAGAAAACATAAAAGAAATAATGACTCCTCTGCTCTCTCCACTGTGGTGCTGGTTCTGGCTTTTTTTAATGCTTGGATGGAGAAATGGCAGGGGTGACTAGGGCAGCTGGCCCTCTCAGTGAGCATTGGTGCTTTGCCCTCTCTAAAGAATGCTCCTTGACTTATCCATGGGTCATATCAAAATTCATAATTTTGGCTACAAAATCTGCTTCACCTACCATATATACTTATACATAAGTATATATGGTAGGTGAAGCCCCCGGTGGTGAAGTGAGTTAAACTGCTGAACTTGCTGACTGAAAGGTCAATGGTTCAGATTCTGGGAGTGGGGTGAGCTCCCACTGTTAGCCCCAGCTTCTTCCAACCTAGCAGTTCAAAAACAGGCAAATGTGGGTAGATCAATAGGTACTGCTTCTGCAGGAAGGTAATGGCTGTCCATGCACTCATGCTAGCCACATCACCTTGGAGGCGTATATGGACAACACTGGCTCTTCACTTTAGAAATTGAAATGGGCACCACCCTACAGAGTCTGACACGAGTAGACTTGATGTCAGGGGAAACCTTTACTTTTTATATGGTAGGTACGGGCCAAGTTTATTCAGTGAGTGTCATGGCTTAGCAGGGACTTGAACCTCAGTTTTTTGTATGACAGTAGTGCGATAAATTTATCTGTCAGCAACAGTCCAGTACAGAACTTATTTTGATATAAACTCAAGAATTCCCCTGGCCATAATGTTTACAGAAAGAAAACCACTGAATATTTAGAACACCCAGCATTGCTTCTTGGAGACAGAGGTCAGAATACATTTTAGTGTCTGTTGAATTTTCTACTCCCCACTTTTTAACAGTAAACTATGCCATATATTAAAATTGCTTTGGAAACTGTTTCAGCACTGTTTTGCTCGGTGAGTACTCTTGTTTGAAAAAAAAATCAAAGCTGTCTTGGTTGTGCAGAATTAGTAGCATGTGGCTTTGGATTTTGGCCAGAAATGTTAAATGGGATGGACTGCCATACTGTCATAGCATGACAGTGCTTACATTATTAATGGAAGAAGGAAGACAGAGTAGATTGTGAGCCAAAGAAGGGACATGTGTACTGAAATAAAGCTGAGCACGTGGAGCTATGAAACAAAATGAAATGTTACTCATAGTAGAGCTGTAGTGGAAATTAGATCAGTAAAAAGAAATTACATGCTTTAGACATTGAATGCTCTCCAAAATACAGTGTTGTTATTTTTTCGTTAATTCATCTAACAACTTATGACACCCTTAAGCCAAACTTATTATGGAGGTTTTTGTTTTTGTTTTTGCAAGATCTGTCAAGTCTGGCACTCAAACTACTACATCACACTATACACCTGTTGTTGTTGTGTGCCATCAAGTCATTTTCATCAAGTCATTTCCAACTTACATTCAGAAGCCTTTTCCTCCCTCTGAATCTGAGAAAGTGTGGCTTGCCCAAGGTTACCCAGTAAGTTTCTGTGGCCCACATATGGATCTGAATTCCAGAGTCCTAGCCTAGCACCCTAACCATTGCACTAGTCTGGATCTTCCTAACATTACATTTACCACCTTACTTGTGAAGATTTACTTCTAAGTAAATAGAATAATAGAGTTGGAAGGGACCACACAAGCCATCCAGTTCAACCCCATGCGTGCAGGAAAAGTACAATCAAAGCACCCCAAGGCGCAAGGTCCATTTTTTGAACAGCTCTTACTATCAGGAAGTTCTTCCTAATGTTCAGATGGAATCCCCTTTCCTGTAATTTGAATCCCAGAGGCACTGATTTGATCTTCAAGAGACAGGAGTTATGCAAATATGTGCTAGTGGTTTGTCATAGGGTAACCAGGTTGGGTTATGGCATGTTCAAAAGCTGGAGCAGTCAGGATTCCATCAGGTGTGCCCATGCCTTTGGAGACACTTGTAGTATCTTTTTCTATTGAGGCCCCAGATTTTTAAACACACACACACACACATATATATCCAGCCCTGCAAGCACTGAAAATATTTAGATATTGCAAAAAGACACTGAACTCATGAGACAAGCATACCAAGCAGTACGAATAATGCCTTTCTTTACTTTTGAGCATTCCGCCAACGGTGGTAGGCCACATTCTTTTCTAAGGGGTTTGAGGGCTTTGGGAGAGAGAATGAATCCACTTTAAATCTGGTTTCTGCCTCCTGCAAAATTCTGGGATTTATAGTTTAGTGAGGCTCTTATAGGCTCATCCTTAAACTACAAACCCCATAATTCTGCAGGAGGCAGAAACCGGATTCAAAGTGGATTCATTCTCTAGTGTGATGAGGCCATTTGTCATTTATTTGACTTTCTAAGCACACTTTTTAGTACCTAGTTCAATATTTACCCAGAATTACAGTTCCCAACAGTGTTAAATCTAGGAAGTTTTAAATTCATTGATATTTTGCCATTTTACTAGCAACAGAATCTGGCCCCATTATCATAGTTCAAATCAGTTACTGAATGAAAAACTGAGTTTCAGAAAATTCTGGTGAAGTAGATCACATCCTAGGAAGCATTTATATTTATGTGACACAATTCATCAATTCATGCATGCTCTTTTCCATGTGAATATTGTAGCATGATTGTCGATAATGTGGTCAAAATACATAATTTTGCTAGAATATTTGAAGAGAGCATACAGAAACATCTTTTAAACATGACAGCCAATCCCAAGGATGCAGAGATGCAGCTTTTGTAAAATAGCTGAAAACACCTTTGAAAATCTGGCAGGCTGATAGCTTCAAAACAAAATGTCATCACAGTATTAGAAGCGTTTCCAGTAAGTGTAAAGCAGAATCAAGCCTGAAGAGGTGTTTGTAGTTTTTGGCATTCTTTCAGAGATTTTACTTCCTTGATCTTTATCATTATTTTATAATTACCGTATTTAATTATCCACTCTGAGTTGTAAATCTTCCACATGTTTATTCACATTTTTGGTTGTTCTTTGGCTGAACTTCCTCCTATTTTTTTCTTTTACTTATTTATTTACTTACTTTGTTTTCTATTCTCTCCCTCACTGAGGGACCCAGAGCGACTAACACTCAGCAACGATTCAATGCCATTCAACATAATACAATACTATTAGAAAATACACAAACTTGCAAACCAAAAAATTAAAACAGCAATATATAAAACATTTTATCCTTTTTTTCTGTAGATTTTTTGTGATTAGATATTATGGCTTGAGAAATTTAAAGACATTCTCAAGCCATACCTTGAGAAATCTCTAACAATAGCTTTCAGCCAGGCCTTATTGTAGGTTCTTCCAAAATGGAAACCAAGAATGGAAAGGATAATGTATAAAACATGTCTCTGTATATACTATTTTGCTTGTTTTTGGAAAAGTAAGCTGATAAAGCAAGTTGTATATAAATGTCATTACCTGTAATAGTATTTGGTGACTGGAAAGCCCTTACTTTTTTGCTAAGACATGCTGATATTTGTATGTGATGGAAATGAAGCCAATGCAGTATTATCACATATGGAACCAAATTCATTGTCTCAAGCTACTGCATACCATTAATTTTCCAGAATCATTTTTATTTTAAAAAATGATATCTTTAAGATAGAGTTTTGCAGAGTTTTACCATTTTATTAATTAAAACCTTATTTATATATATATTGGTGTCATTACACTTACAGTTTATAGGACCCAATAAAGATATTTTTATTTTCAAAGCTGTTTATTTTCAGAGTTAAATAATGATATGGGCATGTCTCATGAACAACAAAAAAAGAGAATATAAGAACATTTAATGGTTTCCTTTGAAGTTAGCCAACTAGCTTCCACGATCAACCATTGAATACTAACAGATTTTCATATGAAAATTAAGCTAGCATTTCATAATTCACCTGAACTAGTTATGCTTTTGTTAAGTTATATTGTTCATAATACACATTTGAAGTTGCTCTACTGACTTTCAGTGGAAGTCTTCTTAAGTATACTGGAACATGCGCTACATTGGTTATATGGATGCCATTTTTAAAAATTGCCTTTTTAACAGAAAACACACAATTAAAGAATAACATATACACAACGAACAACATAATTTCTCTCACCAACATACAGTTCTACTTTAACTAAATGTAAATCTAAACTGCAAACATATATTCATAAATTCGTTTTATAGTGGGGTCCCTACTTGCCTTTTTTGATTTCTCTATAGTTTGACATTCTTCTCTTCCACTTTATATCCAACAGGTTATTTACTTCTGCTTGTTTTTACATTAACAAATGGATATCCCAACTGTTTATATCTCTAAACTTGTACATGAAGGCATTTTCTATCTCTCAGATATTTATTGACAGTAAAATTTCCATTCTTCTAAGAATGCATTTAGTGATGTATCCTTCGACAAAATTGTCAACTTGTCCATTTCTATTAGCTTCTATTTGGTTGGCCAATTTTTTTACAGTTGGTGTTTTTGTTTTGTTTTTTCATTGTTGACCATATATAATTATTGCTACTTTTAACATTTACTGCAGTTCCTAACTCCTCTTCCTTTATTTCATTTGATCATCCAATAGTCCTAATAATAAGAGTTCTGTTTGAAGTTCATTCCTTGGATTACTCCATGAATTTCTTATTACATGTCCACCACATATGATAATATGAACCTTCACAAACTTCACATTTCTAACATTATTATTTGATCCTTCATACATTTTTGATATTGCGGAGCAGTGGTAAATGCCATCTAAATATCATTTTGTAAACATTATATTTAAGATTACTACATATCATATAGTTCCTTCCACCAATTTCTCCTCCGTTCTCTAATTCTGTATTATAGTCAAAATTCTTTGCCCACTTAATAGTAATAGTAATAATAATAATAATTTATTTCTAGACCATCCTCTCTCCCCAAAGGGACTCAGTGCGGTTCACATACATATAAAAGGCAAACATTCAATGCCATAATTAAGATCACACAATATCAAAAGACAGGACATTAATCATTAACAGACTTATTACAATAAAAGAATTAAGATTAAAAGTATAAAAGATACAAATACTTAAATAAAACGTGATTACACCAATAAAATATAATTACACAAAACATGTATCCTAAACAGTTAAAATGACAATTTCAATTAATCTTGATGTATTGACCATCTTTCATTATTTTTTTCTCTGTTTGGAAAATGATTCCTGTACTGATATCAATAGCAAAGTTTTGGAGCATAATCCGGATTTATATTAACCTCAAATTGTCAGTGGAACTCTCCTGACACAATGATTAGCAAAATCTGAATTTATATTAGGTTTCTCAAAGCATAAGTACACATGTCAGCCAAATCTCAGATTATGTCCCTCTAAATTTAACAATTTACACAATCTTTTGTCCATGACAAATAGCACGTTGCAAACTATGTCTTCAAGTCCAGCAATCCTAAACCCGTTATTTTCCCATGTCTTGTAATACTTTAAATGTTATTCTTGATTTCTTTTCCTGCCATATTATTTTTGTTAAATCTTATTGCCAATTCTTAGATACTTTGCCATTCACTATTATTGGGATAATTTGGAACAGAAATAGCATTTGCAGTAGGATATTAATTTTAATTGATGCAGTACATCCAAGTAATGATAGCTATACTTTGTTCCATTTTTATAAATCCTGTTCAATTTCTCCTCAGATTTTATTGTCGTTATTCCAGAATAAAACTGATTTTTACATCAACAATGATTAAAGCATTGTTTGAAAAAGATAGCACTGTAGTTTCCTTGTGCTTCTCAAGTGAAATGATGTAGGGACCAGCACAACCCTTCCCCAAATGTTTGAGGGACCAGTAGCATATTTGTTTATTCTTTTATTGGAAACTCTATGGGCCGGCAGCTGATTGATTGTGAACTGGCACTTGTTTAGGGACCATTAAATATGTATGACTGGTCTAGGACTATGAATGTATACTTGAAATAAAACATCTTATTTTTTTAAAAAACAACCAGTTGTAATCCTTACTTAATGCTTGCTTTCTAGGTGCTTTTCTCATACCCTACGTGGTTTTCTTTATTTGCTGTGGAATACCAGTGTTTTTCCTGGAAACTGCATTGGGACAATTCACGAGTGAAGGAGGAATTACTTGCTGGAGAAAAGTGTGCCCATTGTTTGAAGGTACACATTGAGTTATCATTCTTTTTCTCTTTCATGTTTGGTGCATAAATCAATGTAAAGATATCAATATGTGGAAATAAAAATGTATGGGTTTTGAAAATATCAGACAAAACAACTGGATATTTTTAATATTATCACCAACAAAAATATGTAGCTTATTAATTTCAAAGTGCCTACTTTTCTTACTGATGTATATTTAGTCCTGCATTGTATTTCCTCTGACTTTATACCACATGACTGACCGAGAATGCAGAACTTCAGATCAGCCCTGGAGAAGTCTTTATGGCCAGTCCTGACTGTCCTCTTTCTGTTCTTGTTGGAGTGGTGATCACCAGCTGCAAAATGGCTGGTAGCTAGTGTTCATCACATGGAGTGACATTGGCCAGGATGCCATGGAGTGACATGGGAAAGGAGAGGGAGAAACTAAGGAATTGCCCCCTCCTTGCCCCCTCCCTTCTCTGATTCCCCATGCACCCTGACTGAGGTCACTCCAGACAATGAGTGATGGGCAACAGCCATTTCACAGTTGGTGGGCACTACTATGAATGAGAACAGGAGGGGGGTAGTAAATGCCATCCCATGTCCCCAGACCTAGGATTACATAATTGCCATGTCAAAGTGTGGCTGTTTCCAATACAAAAGTAGCCTAGAAGCTTGGTTTGTTCTGGGATTTTGAGGCAACCTGTGGGTTTGTCTGGAGCGCCTTTTCTTAACATGGTTTTTGGCCGCATTAACTTGAATCAGCTCTGTGCATTATATTGATATCAGAGAACTAATTTGCACCCCTTCAGGGTTAGGTGTCCCTGTAAATGTGCCCTTGGCCTCTTTTCTGGTTCTGTAGCACTGAGGTTATCTACTTCAACCATGACTTTATTGATGGTCTTAGATATTCCAATGTACTTCTTCTCATCCCATGTGGGTATGAGGATTATGATGTGGCATATCTCACAAATATCTATTAGTTAAATAACACAGAGATCTGGAAAATTTAGAAGAGCAAACTTTGCTTTTACACTACTCTGCATTGGTTCCTTCTATTTCATGGATTTTCAGGATCTCTTTGGCTCTCACAATCTCCAACAAAAATGTATACACTTAACCCATTATGTAGTTTTGTTATTTAATAATCATTGCTGTGTTTAATTCCACAATGTTAACAGATATATTTTGAGGATATTCACATCAGCTTTAAAGATTAAAAAGTGAATTGTGTTTCCAAGAATTAAAATCTTAATTCAATCTAGTAATTCATCTTTGTAGTATATTCCTTGTGTGCCTTAGAAAAACTAATAGGGTCTATCTTTTTGTCTTTTTCAGGTATTGGATATGCTACCCAGGTTATTGAGGCACACTTGAATGTTTATTACATCATCATTCTAGCATGGGCTATCTTTTATCTGTTCAACTGCTTTACTACTGAGCTTCCTTGGGCAACCTGTGGACATGAATGGAATACTGGTATGGGAACTGTAACACTATCACTTTAAATGCAGAGTAATTTTAAATTAATGACACCAAGGGGTATAATTTTAGAAATGAACTTCATTGTTCAGATTTGTGGCACAGCATGTAAAATAGTGAAATATAGATTGCAAGATTTATTATTGTTTTATTAATGAATATCCATACTTCGTTTGATACTTTTTTACCTCACCACTTGTTTAACATTTTAGTTGCAATAGAAATATTGTTTTTAGAGTTTCTCCAGATGTTTGTAACTTAGGGACTGCCTGTACAGGAGAAATCATTTTTTTCTTTTCCAGTAGTAGCCTTTGAACATAGCAGGCCCTCATTTTTTTTAGTTTCCCTAAACTTAGAGATTATTTTTTGAGGTGCTCCAGATAAGAACCTATCAGAAGAGGCATATCCTTCTGGATATGTCTCTGACTAATATTAATTCTTCTTTGTGTCTAAATAGGAAATAATTTATATCCTAGTATAAGATTTTTGAAATATATACAAAGTTTGTCCGTAACATTCAGCATCATAAATGAATTTGTTCATTGCATTTGAAATCTTAAGGACTATCCAAAATGCGATGTGTGTTTTGATATTCTTCATATGATCTCTATAATACTTTTATTTTGGTAAGAATAATAACCACTTACCTTGTTTTTTAATTCACTGAACAACTCTAGATTTTTGCTTAGGTCTCTAAAGTTTTGGTAAATTACATGCCTTGTGCACATATTGGAGATGATAGCTGTGTGTTGTGTGCTCTTCGGCATCTGCAAAGAAAAGCATAGCCAGTATTGAACACTCTCCAAACGTTATGTGTCAGCTCAACAATAGAGAATGGCTTTGATCTCTTTCCACTATTTTGTCTGATGCCAGAGATTACAGTGTGCCAAATGGTAGCTTTCTCACTTGCCATATTAAGGCTATTATGGAGTGACTGCTAGTAGGAAATGATTCCTTGGCTAGTGATAGGCATTGGGAATTCAACTGCATTCAGCCATGTGAAACATGGTGATTGTTGTAATTCTCTAACAATCAGAGCAACTCAAAGTCTATTTCTGTTGTTTTAGAAACTAGATTGGCTCTTGTAATTTTAAAAAGAGCAAATTGTATGGGAAAAACATATATGTGGAAAATTACTGTGAATTGGTCGCCACATTTTTAAAAAATTAAAGTGACTTTAAAGAATACAACAATATCATAACATTTTTTCTTTGTTCTTTTACAGAGCATTGTGTGGAATTTCAAAAACTTAACATGAGCAATTGCACTCAACAACATTTGAAGAATGCTACTTCTCCAGTCATGGAATTTTGGGAGTAAGTCAAAATCAGCATTAGTTTTGAATGGCATTCAACATCTTTTTGGAAAAAAAATGTAATTCATTCCTGATTTGAATGAAATTATGAACTGACTAGCAAGATTTCAGACTGCTGACATTAAAATTCCAAGTGGTTTCACACAAAGTGAGATTGAAAATTATGGTATTAAAAGCTTATAATATGTGCATATAGTCCTAATCAACTCATTGTTTTTCTGGGCAAATCACAGTAAACGGTTAAAAATTACTTTCCAGAATTCTGGCTTTTTGCAAAACGTATTATTGCTTGATATCTCTCACTTGGCAAAATAAGTAGTGATCTTTTTGTTTGTTTGTGAAGCCTTTGTGTAAGCAGAATTTCTAGTTTTCCTTTTTCCTGATAAGGCAGAGCCATGGGTACGAGGGCTTGTTGATGATTTTGGTTTGCCTGAATCAATCCCAAAGTCCTGGTTTTGTGCAACAATAAACCATGAATGAAAAGCTTGTGGTTTCTGTACCTGTTATTACTTTCTACAGGAGAAACACCTCCAATTTCCTAATTGTCAAGGTATTATTTTCCCAAAGCCTTGATGGTATTCCTGTACACCAGCCAGGCCACCCAGCAAGGAAAGCAGAATTATTGCTTCTAGCATGAGCTGTTGTGTTATCTATAGATGATAAGAAAGGTTAATTATTCCTCACTTTAAAATCATTAGGAGAAGGACAGACAATAATTTTATTTATATGTACTTTTATTTCTGGATATTTGTTGCTATGGGTTTTATATGTAGTGTTATAGCTGCCAGATTTTGGAAGATGAAATTCACATGCCCAAATTGAATGGAGCTTCTGCTATCAGTTTGCCCCTCTGCAGTTGTTTACAGTTGTGTCACACAACACTTACTCCAAATCTATTGGGGTGTGAGTTACTTATACAATTGTGTGTGTGTAACTAGTGTTGGAAAATGTGTTGATTAGTTACACAATTTGCTCTGTTACACAATTTGCTCTGAGCAGCTTCAACCAGGTTATGGAATAAGAACTGTAATCATTCAGCCCGAGCATCCAGTGTGATAGTGATTGTTGTAAATGACGATAACTATGTTAATTTTTGTTGTCTGGACAATTTATTTGCAATAAGTTACTATCCTATGGAGGCCTAAATCACTGCAGCATTTATTTAGTTAGAACTAATTTGTATGAGAGAGCTACTAAGATCTCTTCTTAAATGATTAATGAGAAATGCAAGCTTCCATTTCAGCAAATGTTAACCAGGTTCTCTGTGATTTTTACCCCTTTAGTCATGCTGTGTTCAGTAGATATAATTTTCAGAGCAAAGGAGGTATCATATATTCAGAGAGCAGCATGTGGTGGAATGTTGACCTTGTGTAAATGCCACAGAAACACAGACAAAGGGGTTAGGGAGCAAATTTAATTCTTGCTGAAAGGCAAACACAGATGGCCTTATGAAATGCACAATAGTCATCTGTAAATAGTATACTGTAGATTCTCATGCTCAATCTACACTACCATATAATTCAGTTTGAAATCGCATTATCATCTGGCCTCTACTAGGCAGAGAGCCTTCTCGATTGTGGCCCCTTATTTATGGAATGCCTTGCCAGTTGAAACCCGAACCATCCGAGAGCTACTTGCTTTTCGGAAAGCCTGTAAAACCTTTCTTTTCTGACAAGCTTTTGATGGGTGAATAACTCGGGACTATGTGTGTTCTCGTTTTTATTGTATTTTAAAGTTAGTTGTATTGTTTTAATCTACTGCTGTAAACTGCTCTGAGCCAAATTGGGAGTGGCGGTATACAAGTCAAATAAATAAATGAACAAATAAATAAATTATATGGTCAGTGTAGCCTCATATAATCCTGTTTAACTGCATTAAACTGTATTATATGAGTATACACTGACCATATAATGCAGTTTCAAATTGCATTATGTGGCAGTGTAGATCAAGCCAAAGGGCCCATCTGTAATTTTAGTGACAGTCAGTACACTTTTGCTGGTTGCCTGAGATGTTTGGTTGCTTGAGTTCTGGTTAAGTGAAAGTCTTCTGTAATCTCTAATATTTTCTATTGTTAATGGGGCTTTAATTACCATTGTTGCTATGGCACTTCCCATAATCCGTTCTTCATTGAAGAACTCATTGGCTTTTAGAGAGTAAGAATAAGGTCAGTTGTTTCTAATACATGTCACATCAGCAGCCTTTTTCAGAGGTAAACATTAACATTCACTGCAGTGGTTTTGAAAAGTTGGGAGCAGAGTCCTCACTGTTTAGTTGGGCTGAACCTGATTCAGCCATATTAGACATGACCTTTACCTTTGTTGCTTTTCATCACCATAGTGGTGGACACAGAACTCCAGAAAGCTGGCCATGGATTGGTGTATTTATAGATGTCAGCAAAGAAGCCCATGTGACTTTGGGGGGGGGGGGAGATGGAAAGGAAGTAGAAATCCTCCTTCTCTCTCCATGTCATGCTGACATTGGAAAAGTGCCAAGTGAGGACCAAGAGCTCTCCAGAACTCAGTGGCTGCTATGATGATGATGAAAAATTACAGAGGTGAGTGTCTTCCCATTATCTCCACATTACAGAGCATGGAGAAAGTAAAATAGTGTCTCTGACCTGTGTGAATAGTGAGGCTGATTCTGAATTAGAACCAGCCCAGCTGTTCACATGCACACCAAAGCTGCTTTGCAATTTCAGGGAAGCTCCAAAGAATTTCCTGACTTTACCTTGCATGTTAAGTGGCTTTGTCTCACATTGGAGTTGTGTCATGCAGACACCACAGAGTGGCTTGTGCCATGTAGATGTCATGGAGTGATGTCTCACCCACCCCATGGTATGTGACTTATGTAGACAGTCCCTTAGTTAAAGATGCTAAAAGAACTAGTTTTGTAAACATGTACCAACTTTTACAGACAATACATGTCTGTACAGGAGTTGATTATAAATTGTATGATTTTAAATGTATTTGTATTTAGATTGGCTGCAGTAAGTCTGGAGCGGCCTAAGTCAGAGGAGTCCTCCATGTGCGTTGCCATGGAGACCGATGCAGGAGAGAGGGAAGTGGGAGGAGCTTAGAGGGGAGAGTTTGAAAAAACGACAGTTAAAATCAGTTAGGGTTTAGGTTTAGAGGAGTGAGCAGTCAGGAGTTAGGTTCAGAGGAGTGAGGAGTTAGGAATTGGGAGAGAAGGAAAGGAAAGGTGGCGGAGTGACTTGTGAAGCAAAGCTTTGAGGCTTTGAAAAGCTGGGTTTGGCTATTGGAAGTTTCTCAGGCTAGTGCAGCCGAATGGTGAAACATAGCTGGTATTCTTTTAGTCTAAGGAGAGGCTAAAGAATAGTTTACTTAGTATTTGATCTAGGGATGATCAACTAAGGGAAACATCCCTGTATGGAAACTTTGTCTGAAACAAGTGCTCTACGTCAGAAAAATACTGTGTTACTTGAAACTATGAACTGTTAAAGTTACAAGTATTATTCCAAGTGCTACAAGGAAAAGTTACGTCTTGCAACCACACGCTGTGTACTTAATAAAATTGTTAACTTTTATTTGAAGATTGCCTCAGCTCCATCTATTCTGTGTACCAAGTGCCATTTCTCACAATATTACAACTTACCTCACGTGGTGGCAGAAACATAGGGAAAAGTAACCAAATAAATCTACATTCTTCTCTCCAGTCACGCTACAGTATATACAGTGTCATTACTACTAAGTTATTACTTTCTTAATAAAGGAGGAGGTGCAATTGAACAGCCTCCCTCCTAACTTGATGGTAAATTTGGTTCCTAATCGGCAACCTCCATTGCAAATCGGCTAAGTCTTTTTAAAATTGGGAACTGGGGTAAAATCTCCTGAATACTGGTTCCTTTCAAATTGGTGGCAACAATAAATCATCCCTCAGCTCCCCTGCTTCTTTTCAATGTCTTTTTGATGTCTATAAATGGAGGAAGACAGCATAGGGTTATAAAGATATTTTTTGGAAATTTATAGTCCAGTCACTTGTAATGAAGTTTTGCAAAAATATTGGAATATGTAAGAGGAGAAATGTCCTGTTTCCATGCAGGAAGAATTTGATTCACTGTAACATTACATGGACAGGCATTCTTTTATGGCCTACAACAAGTAATAACTGTAAGGATTGAAATCAGTATCATTTTATTTTTCATTACTGAGATTTATTAAAAATTGTTGTACTTATGTTTGGCCCCATCTACAATGCCATATAATCTAGCTCAAAGCATTTAATCTGCATTCTGAAATTGGATTATATGGCAGTGTAGACCCAGCCTTTTACTTTATATAGTCAGATTCATTTTGTTATAATTGCCATGACTTCTCAATGATCTTGTAGTTTGTATCTCAAAACTATTCTGATGTTGAATGTAGAAGTCACATTGTGATGGACTTGTTTAGTAATGGAAATGTGAAGAGAATTTGTGACTGGATGCAGGGGCGGCTCAACCATTACGCAAAGTAAGCATTCGCAGTATAGTTGATTTTGCCCAGGGGCGCTCTTGAGGCGCTCTTGGGGGAAAATAGACCTTGACATATGCGAGTTGTAGTTACTGGGATGTATAGTTCATCTACAATCAAAGAGCATTCTGAACTCCACCAGTGATGGAATTGAACCACATATGGCACACAGAACTCCCATGACGAACAGAAAATATATATCAATGATTGGTTGAGGGGGGAGGGGCGCACCAAAATACTGTTTGCTTACCGTTGAAAATTACCTAGGGCCGCCTCTGACTGGATGACATACAACCTGATGTCATCGTGATGGCTTGTAAAACTGGGCTACCACAGGTTCCTTGTGAGAACCTGGAATATTACTTTTTAGAAGTAATTTATTTATAACACTTGTTACAATGTTTTAAAGGAATTCCTTACTACTTGTTTACAGAGTTTGAAAAATTATATTGTTTGTTACTTGTTGCAATGCCTATAACTTTTTTGTTACATGAAAAAACTCTTAGTATTATTGAGAGGGTGGCATAGACAC